GGTTTCTCAGTGGATATAACCTTGGACTGTGAAGACAAACTGTCATCCTTTGGTGGTATACTGGAGAGGTATTGTCCAAATAGGGCAGATTGTTGACCTTTGTGGTGGTTGAAAATGTGGACATTCTGCTGATAACAATCCATTGGTTTACTTTTGTGGAAACAAGTCACCAAATGAAATGAGACCTGATATCGGGATATGACCCAGACTTGTCTTTCTGGCAGTAACCTTGTTTAGATGAGTTAAATACTACTTCCTGTGTTGCCTTAATCGCTCCAGTTCTTACTTTTTGGGGTTTTTATGGTGTGCTATGGTGTCCTTGCAATGTGGCAGTTGAAGCTGTGCATGCGGGACTGTAATGATTGTCTGGTGTGGATGCATGCTTGTGGGGTGGTTAAAAATACTTGGTGCACTCAGATCTGATGTCTAGATGGATGTAAGTCTCCTGAACATGCAAAGATAAAATGTTTCTTCCACCATACTTTTAGACCTTTTTCTGCTGTACTGCTGCTAGTAATAGGCTCAGGCTGATGGAGGGAAAGGAGGAAACTAGTTTGTCAGGTTGTATTTGCAGAACTTTGTGGCTTGTTGCTGAAGCTTGGGAGTTGGGAAATAGATATTTTCTATTTCCTGTGAGTGATAATCTCAGTGTGACTGTATCTGATGGGAACGTGTTGTTGCCCTAATGGTTGTCAGCAATAAACTAGAAAACAGGCCATTTAATCTCTAAAAAGGACATACATGCATTGTTTCTAGTTGTTGGATTTAGCATTTAAACATTCAGTGGGACTGCAGCAGGCTTTCCTGGCACTTGGAAAGCAAATCTTTAAGCCTGATCTTTCTTGATCAGTGTTTGGACAAATTTGAGAACTGATCTCTTTCCTGTTAGAAACAGAATTGTCCTTGTTTTGAGAGTCAGAGACCTCTGAAGCAAGGAGTTAAATATTGCTGCTGTAGCTCTGAAGGCAAACAGAGCTCCTGTTGTTTGCTCCATAATAGCACTTGCTCAGCCTCGAATACTAGAATTTTTTACAAGATGGGGAATGCTGACTAGTATCCTGGAGTGTGGGGTGGGGTTTTTTCCCACTAAAGTGCTTAGGAGCTCTTAATTTACCAAAGGAGAGCACCCTTCAAATAGTATCTTCAAAGTGTCACCGTTGGTTTAGCCCTGAACCTGTGAGTTCAGAAGTATCCTAGCGTCAGTGTCACTGTAGCAGCTTAACAGAAGCTTCCTCTACCAAAGCTGGTTATTCCTGCAAGTCATCTGGTGATTTTGATCATCCCTGTTCTAGAGCAAGAATCCTTTACAGAACTCTTAATCCTTTGAGGTTGGTGTTTTTTGGGTGTGGGTTTTTTTTTTTTGATGACACTTACTAGCTCAAAGTAGGTACAATACAAGGATTCAGATATTTCAAAGTGTGCCTTAGGCAATTTGGTGTTTAGTAGGAGTTACCTGTCTGTGTGTTTGGAGAGGGAGCTCTTAGCAAGTCATTGGATAACTGGTGAAAATATGTATTGCTGGTTAATAGCTGCTGTTGTTTTAGAGTGCAACTTGTTGCCTGCTTACTAGACAAAATGATGGCTGACACTTCAAACTTTAAGGTTGATATTTATTTTGCTATGTTATCTTGCAAGGTAAGTATTTTCCTGGACTTATTCCAGCCTGTTCTGTGTTAGAGGTCAAACTAAACTTCCACTGTGACCTATGTCTATTACTTAACTTTCTTTTTTAAACATAGTTATAATGTAGTTCTTCAGTAATTTGCTGCCACAAAGAACTTTAGAAGGTAACACAGGTAATATATTATACCTGTGAGAAGTCCGTTCTGAGCTTGAAGTTCACAGTTGCCAGTAATGCTATACTAACTGGCATAGCAGAAGGCAGGGGAAAGTAGGTGGAGAATGGGAATGTTCTTTTCCTTTCCTGTGGTTGAGAGAACCTTTCTTTCTTGTAGGGTGAGGTGTAGGCTGCTGATTTCAGATTTTCTTCACACTTAGATTCCATACATGGTTTTTAACCCTAATTCAAATCTGGTGCTTCTAGACAGCTGTCTTATGATTCCAGTGTTTATCGCTGTACACTACTGGAAAGGTCACCAATTCTGTTTTCTATCTGGGATCTTCTAGAGGAAATAGACTTAGTGTGGAAGATTGCTATGAACGAAGTCTACCTGAGGCTAACTGTGGGAGAGCAGGGTAAAGGGAAATTGTGTTGGGAGTTTCTCAAAGGCAGCATTTCTGTTAATCCTTAAAAATAATCCTTAAAAAAAGCCTGTAAACTGGTGTTGCAGCCTCTAAAGTATGAAAGTGAGTATGAATGGTCGTGTCTTTTAACTGAACCCATTTCATCATTACACTTAGTCGTAGCTTAGGATCTGAGTGTTTGTAGGTCTGGTATTCTGTAAGAGTTTTGGGAGAATAACATAATTATTTTTGATCTGATACCAACCTTGTACTAGAAGGAGTATGGTAAGAAATAACTGAGGGAAGAAACTTTCGGATGTATTCTGGCTTCTAGTTTTCTTTACATTGCCTAACCCTAAACATTAGATTTTTTTCAATTAGCAAGAAGGCTGGACTATAGCAGCACAGATATTTCCACTGGCAGTGTAACTTTGTTTTGTTTTTAGAAACAGATGCTGGGCTGTAGCCTGTGGACGCAGTGTTGGAGCAAGGTTGCTGTGTTTATGTAGCCAAAACTGCCTCTGCCTGTGTGAACAGGTTTGCAGACTGAGCATACTGCACTACCAGTAGTAGTATTAAGCCTGCCTTTGAGGAAGGGTGAGAAGACTGATTGTATCCAAGTACTGTCATAGTCTCGGGGACGGTGGGGGGGTGGGATGAATTAGGACTAAGCAGATAAATTAGTAACAAGATTATGTCGGAATTGTAACGAAACTCAATCCTGGGGACAGAATTGGTATGGTAATGATTCTGTGAGTTTTCCTTCTTTGAGGGAAGAGATGTCTTATTGGGGTTTTTTTTAGGAGAAAATGGAATTGAATTGTGTATGCAAAGCCCAGGAAAACAAGATTTCTGGGGAGGACATATTTGAGTAGCAGAGAGCATTAATTGTGACATCAAGAGCCACAGTGAAGACAACAGGCCTGTATCCTGGAGTGAACAGGAAAAAATGACTCATAAGCATGCTATATCTTGCTCTCCATGCTTCTTTGCAGGAGGTGTGCTTTGAAATTTGCATTGACGTCTCAAATATGTGGCAAAAGTGGTTTAATATAATTAGCTTTTTCCCTCCATCTGCCTCTTTCGATCTTGTCAACCTTCAAAGAAATAATTTTGTATGATGCACTGTGGCCAGTGGAAATAGTAGAGCTTGTCTGGTCTAATGTGACAGAGTAGCATTATCAGTTTTTAGATGCCTCACTAATAAATGCAGCAGCTAACCTTGTCAAAGAAGGGAGTCAAAACAAGATTTGGAATGTTGGACTGAAAAAACCTGTAAGACTTTGTTCCCAGACTCCTGAAACTGGGGCTTGTGCAAGTGATAACTCCTTTCTAGCCACGTAATCATTTAGAGCTTGCTCAGAGGCTTTGTTGTGATGTGAGCACCTGAAAAGCACAGCACAGTTGCTTTAATATGACACATACCTGAGATGTAGACAAGTGTTCCAAAAATATTTACTTAGTTTCAGGCAAAAAGGGCAAATTAAGCCTGTGGTTGTTGGTTCCTAATGCACAGCAACTCGTGTATTCCCTAGTGAGTTCCTGCTTGCGGCAGCCTGCTGTTCCAAAAGAACTGAGCGTATTTAGAAGTTGAATTCCTCTATTCTTGGGTGGTAGGTGAAGAAAGGATCTTGTGTAGGTATTCAGTGTTGTAATTCTTCCTTGCTTAAGAAACACTCACTCTGTGTCAAGGAGACTCACTTTTGGGCTTTTTTAGTATCATGGTTTTATGGGATCTGTCCCTTTTGGTAGTGTTTTGGTTGCAATGGTTTGTTTGTGGATCTGCTGTAGGAGACTATAACTAGACTTTCATTACAGCAGCTTATTATTTTTATAAGTCTAATTAGAAAGATTTTACATGCTGCCACAATGTTTTACTGTATGCTACAGCTTTCTACAGGAAAAGTCAACTATTGAAGGGTTATGGTAAAGATGGTATATTGGACCTAAAAGAATGGCTTGAAGCTAGCCCTGAGGCACATATGCTGTAGTAAAGGTCCTGGTCCACAGACCACATTAGTGTAAGAAATAATGACATATTTGTCCTTGAAGTCTTGCGGTTCCCAGTACTTAAAATACACATAACTTCCCAAGTAGTTGATTAAGGGAGGGGAAAGAAAAAATCATTCTTACAGTTAACTTCCTAACAGAAGCAAAATCTACAGTGCTTCTGAGCTTTGTGCAGTGGAACTGTGCGTTTTTGGTTGTGTGTTGGTGGGTGGCTTTTTTTTGTAATCAATATAAGCCCGTCAGACCTCATACCATGCAGCTAACTAGACCTTCTCTTTGGCCTAGCTTAACTTGTTGGAAGGCTCAGCTTGACACTGACAGGGACCTGCTGACACAGGCAAAATGCCAGGGCCAGCAATTGGCAGAAGCCTGGCTCCCTGTCTTCTCTCAATGTATTTGAAGTATCTATTTGTGATTATATTTTAACGATATGACCTTTAGTTTACATGGAACAACCACTTAGCCTGCTAAAGGACCATGCACATAGAGGTAAAAATAGACTGAAGTCAAGCTGTTTTCCTAGACTGTGTGGGTGTCTAATTCCTGAAGACACTGTTAACAGGGGCAGTTTTCTAGAAGATCTGAGGTGACTATAGTGATCCTATGGGACTCTTCTGGAAGGTGGGGGGGGAAAAGGCATCTTAAAAGAACTGTTCATAAGTTTTAAAAAAAAAAACTGTTAAGCATTTCTTTCAGGTATGAGATTAAGTGTTTGCATCTGTGCTGCCTATTTAAATCTTCTGCAAATCTGAACTCCTGGAAGTTCTTTAATATACTTCTTTTGTTTTTAACTTTTTTTAAGGTCATAATGGTTTCTATCCCCGAATACTATGAAGGAAAGAATATCCTCTTGACAGGAGCTACAGGCTTCATGGGAAAAGTGCTTCTGGAAAAGCTGCTCAGATCTTGTCCTAAAGTGAAAGCAGTGTATGTATTGGTAAGACAAAAAGCAGGGCAGACACCTGAAGCACGAATAGAAGAAATTACCAGCTGTAAGGTATGTGTCACATGCTCAAAGTACATTTTTGTCCTTTTTTTTATGTTCCCATTTCATTTTGAGAATAACTTTGGTTTGCCTGAACCAAAATACTGTTAAATGTTTTTGGTTCTGTTCTATCAGAAATATAAAATCCAAGTCCTGGGTGTGCATCTGAAGCTGGTTTTCAGTCTGTTAGTATGTAGCAAAATCAGTAGTGGAAAATTAACCTGTATTTAATTGAGGAGGATGTTCAGCTGTAATACAGGATTGAGAAGTAAACCACCTGAATTAAAACCTGTTAAGTGAATATATAATCAAGTGTAAGAGTCACTGTGGACCTGGAGTTGTAAGATGGAATTGAGACCCTTTAGGTCTTAAGCAAGTCATTTTTTCTGCTTCTGCCTCATTTTCTTTTCTGTAAGATGAGGCTTAATAATTGCTTTTTCTTGAATGTGCTGTTGGAGCTACCAGTAAGCAAGAATGTGCTGTGGAATTATCAAAGTGACCATTTAAGTGATTTACTGAGTATGTTGGCTGGGATACTTTCCTCCCGAGGAAGGCTCATTGCCTTAATGTTCTGATGAGCTGGGCTGGGCATTCTTACTGCATGCAGAACCATTCACCAGTGTTGTCTATCTCTACTACAGCGTATCCCATTTATGATAAGGATGAACAGGAAGGGGAGAGTTTTTCAGAATGACTTCTACTGAAGCAGAGTTTATTTCTATTCAGGCCTCTCTTATGAGACATGGGAGTTGACAGTTTAATTTTTCAAGCTTCCTTTGAACTTCAGATACCTAATTCCTCTGTCAATTTGCCATATGTATTGGGTGTGCTCTGGGTGTTTGTTCTTGTTCCTCTTTGTACTGGTGTCAGTGCTAGTACGAGGTTGGTATGGCTGTGAGTGTGCAAAGGGACAGAACAGATACAGAGTACCAAACTGGTTCTTTAAGTGCTTATCCATCGGACTGCTTTTCTAGTACAATGCATACCACACGCTAGTATGGTTACAACGTAGTTGCTTCAGTTGCCTGGCGGCAGGCACCATCATTCCAATTAAAAACATCGTAGGCCTATTTTCAGAGAGACAGAAGACTTCCTGCCCTTAGGTGAGCATTGTTTGCTGTACCCTTAAGAATTGTAGGGGCTTTAAATGCTGTCTTGGCAGCTTTGTCCTTTAAGGTGAAGCTTCATGTTTGGGAAGTCAATTGAAGACCTCTACCCCTGGAGATGTACCATATTTTCACTATCTACAAAAAAAAATTTTCATCTGGACCTGGAAAGCCACACACAGCCATCAGGCTACTTGCTAATGCCAGCATGGGAGAAGCAACCAGAAAATGAAGATGTTGAGGGACTGATCTGTTTGGTACCAGTACAAACTTATATTACCTTAAGAGCCAAGAAGCTGCACCTTTAGGTGACTTAATTATAGTTGAAAATGAATTAGCTTCTCTTCATTCTGTAAAGAAACTCCTTTTCACTGTTTGCATCGGGTATAATTGCATGTTTGGAGAAGAAAAAAGTACTGCTGTGATTCAAATATATTTTAATCTGCTTGTGTTGAAGCCGTTGCTAAGATATTGGCCCCTGTACAATTAAGAGCAGCAGTCTGCTCTGGTGAAGCTTTCAAGTGTGTTGTATTCCCACAGTACTGTCTTGCTTTCAGGAAAAACTTGCATACTAATGAGTGTAAATAAGATGAGGCAAGATTTTTTTTTAATGTGTGTTAAGCCACATGGTTAGAACCCAGTTAATTATGGGGAGAATGTGATGAAATATAATGATTGATATTTTTTCAGTGAGAATAATTGAACACCAGTTTGATAAGACTTGATCATGTGTTCTAACAGGGTGTGCAGCCTTTAACCCTCCTGCCTTTTAACTAGGCAGAGAAACAATTTTTAAACTCTGGAAGTTCTGCAAAACCGGTGTAATTGCAGGACAGCATTTCTCAAATTACTGGAAATTTTTTAAGCTTGATGAAAGTGTTCTAAACCTAAAAACTAGCATGAATTTTGCAAGTTATAAGAATTTGAATAGTTATTATCAGGCTTAGGAAGTGGGCAGGCTTTTTCTTCTGTTGAAAGAAAAGAGATTACACTACTTAGCAGTCTAAGTCTTGTAAAATTTCTGTGTGTCCTGGTGTCTAATAGAGGCCATTCTTCCTTTCTTCTCCTATTGATAGATTGGGTTTTAAGGATAGAGATGAGTATTAAAAACAACTTCACTGCAGATTGAAGTCTTACTACTTTCTATACAGCACATGCAATACTGCTTTCACTGTGGGAGAAGGTGTGCACAGCTTCATCGCTGAATATGTTCATGGGAAGTCAGTAATGTAATGTTTCTAACGCTTCTCTAACTTACCTCCTTGTTTCTCAAGATCATCAGTATTTCTGTGTATAGGCACAAAATGCGGGGTTTTTCTTCACTTCAATGAAATGTGTATCTTACTTGCACTGCCTGTTAGCTTGAATTTAGTCCTGGTGTTTTTGACAGCTCTTTGACAGGTTGAGAGATGAGCAACCGGACTTCAGAGAAAAAATAAATGTAATTACGAGTGAACTTACCCAGCCTGGACTGAACCTTAGCGAACCAATCAAGGAAAAACTTACAGAATGCATTAACATCATATTTCATTGTGCTGCTACAGTCAGATTCAATGAAACACTAAGGTGAGTCAAAAATTGTTTATACTCTGCTCTGGTAAACCAGTGGTACCCAAAGGGCAGGGAGTTAATCAGTGTCCTGTTGTAACTATTCGGCCTGTCAGGCTACCTCATGTATTCTGGTACTTGTGGGCATGGTTAATTTCATGATGCCCCTTAAGGTAATGATCTCTTCCCTCAGTTATCTCAAACTATTGGGTTTTCACTTCCTCTTTTTAAGAGGATGGAGGCATATTATTCAGACCTGCTTTCCCAGGGGTTCGAATTACAGCATTCAACATAAAAAAGTCTCTATCTTTTTAAAGCTTTAGACAAAAAACCAAATCAATTATTAGCACTTAAACTAAAAGAATAATAATTTCGTTTTGCTGCAGGCCCCTTGGGGTTTGGGTGCTGGTGGTTTTTGTTTTGTTCTTGTTTCTTCAAACTAAATCTCTGTACCCGAATTTCAAAGCCTTTTTAAAGGGAAGCTGTTGAAGAGACAAGGTAATGTGTTACTATTATGAATCTTGCTAACATCCTGTGCTGCTCTGATCTCTGGGATGGGTAGAAAGGGTAAGAGTAAGCTGTAGCTATATGTACTGTGATCACGGGTAATATTAGAGCTTTTTCCCCTAGTGTGTAGAAGGCAACACAAACTATTTCTTTAGCCTTCCTTGTTAGAAAGGGAATGCATGTTTTCAGAGGGTAACTTCTTGGGAAAACTGTGTGTGGGGGAAGTTGTAGCACTTACTCTTTACCTGATAAACAAACAGGAGATTAAATACTGCTCACCTTTCTCCCTGCCTTCAAAAATTCCTTTGTTAAGAAGAGGTTAGCATTGGGGAAAAATAGATGCACAGGGAGAAAGATGAAAACTGAAAGTAGAAAATGTCAGTGTTGTACAGGAAGTCTGTTAAGGAAATGCTAGAGAAAAGAGTACCAGTAGCAAGAAAAGATTGCATTTACTTTTTAGCAAAAACAATTACTTGATTTAGTGTTGGAACACTGGACTAAACTCCCAATTTGGATGAAGAATTTTGTGAGCAATAGCTCTGCTTTTCGGAGGGTGATGGAGCAAGTAGAGCAACTTTGAGATGAAACACTTCTCTACTCAGATTTTCTTTGAGTAGTTACAAGGGCTGGCACTACCTCTCTGAGAAAGCTATATTGTATGCCAAAACGTCATAAGGTAGGTAGCCTGTGTCTATTGCAGTGCAGTGGCTCTAAGGTGTTAAACTTCCAACCTGACAAAAGCCCAGAGGGACTTCAAAGGAATTTTTAAGACCAATGGGAATGGTTTTGGTGCAAAAAGCCTCCTGCAGTTTCTGCTTTCTTGGCAGGCCCGGTATGTTGCTTAGTAAAATAGAAAATGCAAGCATTTCTTAGGTGCCCTGGCCTCAGCTCTTCCTGAACAGATGTGCCGGAATGATTGGAGGAACATTACGCATCTGAAGACCACCTAGAGCAGCCTTCATCAGATGTTTAACACAAATGACTAGTGTACAGTTCAAAATCTTGGATTGGGGCCAGCGGTAGGAAAAAAATCAAACCCAAAATGCTTGGGCTTATTTTGGAATTTAAGAAAATTTGTACTTGCTGTGCACTCTTGTATCTTAAAGTAGCACATACAGTTCTGATTACGAGTGCCTTCCTCTGACTTCTTAAAAGAGGCAGTGAAGACTGAGAACAAGGCTTCTATCTAAAAAAAGACCTGAAAGAGAACCCCCAAAAACCAAACCTCCTGTGTTGAGAAGTAACACTTTCTACTGATGTTAATTGCTTTGGGATAGTGGTCTCCCTCTTCTGTCCCTGCCAATGCTTCAGTAGTAATGTGTGCTAAGACTGTGTCAATGCTTATTTGGGGGGAGGGGGGGCACCAAGATTTTTTTTTTTAGCTAATGTACCACTTTATTGCACAGACTTTGGTAAAGCTGTATTCTTGAAACTTAGTTGACTAGTACACTGTACAAGAAAGCTAGTGCCCACAGTAAGTTTTACAGGCTGGAAAGAGTATCTGAAATTCATAAAATAAACATAATGGTTGGTCTGTGAGCTGTGTTCTGGTGGGAACTGTAGAGAACTATTCTCCAGCAGTGTCCTTAAGGACTGTTTTCATGAGAAGCAGTTAAGTTGGAGGATGGAAGTGTGGTTGTTGGTGGCTTGGTTTTTTTCTCTTTTGTAATAGTCATGCTGTTGAGCCCTGTGCTATCCTACAAGAAGATGCTAGTCTCCAACTTACTAGCCCTCTATGTCTTCCTTCTGAGCTGATGACCTAACTCAACTTGAACTAGGAGTTTGAGATGCATCTCATATGGCATCTAGGTGTTTGTGTTGCATTTTCCTCCACACTTAGTGAAAAATGCACGATTGGGATTTAGGTTGAAGAGAGTGAAGGTATGCTGACTTTCCCACTCCAGTAATGGAGCATGAGGATGCCAGGAAGAAAAGGGTAAAACTTAGGAAATTTATCCTGAACTTTGTGAGATGTTTGAAGTTAATGTGGCAGTGCATTGTTCTATGCAGGAAGTTAGGGCACTGTCAGTCCTGGTTTTTTGGACAGGATGGGGTATTCATTAATACGTTATATACCCATCATAGAGGCACTTAGGAGTGAAGTGACTAGTTATTTCTTTCTGCTTGTTTGGTCTTGCTTTCTGCTAATCAAACTTCTGTTTAATCAACAGAGATGCTGTTCAGTTAAACGTGACTGCCACACAACAGCTCCTCCTCTTGGCACAGCAAATGAAGAATCTGGAAGTGTTCATGCATGTTTCGACAGCCTATGCATATTGCAATCGGAAACATATTGAGGAAGTAGTTTATCCGCCTCCTGTTGATCCCAGGAAATTGATAGATTCTCTTGAGTATGTGTAATGTTTTATGGAACTACATCAGTAATCTGTAACCGCTTGCTTCCTAGTAATAAAGTATGAAAAAATGGTTAGGAACCTGCAAGATGAAGAAAAGGGCTTATGCTGTCCTACAGGTCTGAGAACATGGCTGCCACTGCCTTTCACAGAAAAGGTGTGCTAAGGTCTTATGGCCACTTTCAGCTGAGCTAGGTGTGGAGTGGTACTGAAAGAGGGGGATGCTCGTATCTATTCATGATGCCTCCTGTGTGCTGGGGGTGACAGTTTTTCAGCTGTATGAGGACCTGAATCAGGAGATACTAAAACCAAAAAAGCTGTGCTCTTATAAGTGAGCTAGCACTGGCCTTGTGAAGGAAAGGGGTAAAACCAAGACAGCCCCCTTTAACAGCAGCCTCTGCTGTGTCCACCTAAATGCCATTGCAAGATCAGGCTGAGGTACTGAAATAATACTACGTAACTGCTCAGAAAACACAACTGTAGCAGTAGTTCTGCTGGATATTCACAAACATTAAGTATCTTTTCTGTAGCTTTTCAGTCTTGATTGGGGCATTACTGGGGGACTCAATCTAGATAGTTTTCTGTGTATATTAGCCGTCCTGAGAGCTTGCTTAGTAGCTGTCAGACCCTAACTGAAACAGGTGGCACTTATGGGGTAAGTCAAGTGTAATGCAATAAACAATCTCCACTGTAAATCAGTCTCTGTTCTCTGTCATACAAAATATCACCCCTTGTAAGAGAAGTATGGAACTAAAAATAACTAATTAAAAAGTAAAATCTTCTTTAACTTGTTAGTGCTTTTCCATCTATAATAACTTTAGAAACAAATGAGCTGCTACCCAGAATGCACATTGAGCCAACTTTTTTTAACATTGAGTTTAAATCACTTCCAAATGAGCTATTCTGAAAGTCATATATTTGTCTTTGTTGCTTTTCACAAGTAGGAGAAATATAACTTAAACCGCTTGGCTGGGACCTGGGCAGCTGGCTATCTTGGAACTCATGGCAATGAGGGAAGGCTTTTGTAAACTTACACAACTGTGGTCTCTAGCCAACAGCTGACTGAGGTGTATAGAAACAGATTTGTTTCCCCTTCTGGGCTTTTCTACTCCTTTTACCACCCCAATTCATATCACGAAGGGAGTCTGCATGTCAGCTTTGATTGTAACAGTATTAGTGAATGACAGTGTTGGATAAATTCCATTTATGTGGCTAAGATGTTGGGTGGTTGAGACAAATAAAATCCAAGACCCATTTTGAAGTGGAGAATGTCAAACTAACAATAGTTTGAGGCACATCTTTTCTACTTTTGTGCTATGACTGAAGGTTATTACAATTTTAAACACAAACCACTGAATAAATTGCAAAGCAAGATGAAACTGCAAGACTTAACTAAATAAAGGAGAGAAACATGGTGACCCAGCTTGCTTTGGAGTTGATGTTGTTGCTTATCACCACAAAGGGGGATGCTTGTAATGCAGCTGGGACTCCTTTGCAGTGGCATCACTTTCTAGATCACTTATTGCTACCTGAGGAGCTGTGTGCCTGTGTCCCGAAGGCTAACTTGCTGTGTCCACACTTCATGACTGAGAGTTTAGTTGATAGAATTAGGATTATTTTACAGGAATGTACTACTTGTGGTGGTATGCTTCTTTCAATAGAAACTGAACAAATAATCCTCCTCCTCTGCTGAGAAACTCTATTCCATTTCAATCTGTATCTCTTCTTTAAAGGAGGAAAAAAAAAACTATGGTAATTTGAACACAAGAAAAAAAAAGATTTAATGTTTAACTAGGTTCATACATGTATTTACTCTACAGTGCACCTATAAAATAGTTCCAAAACACTTGGAACTGGGCACATGTTTTAGTGAAAGATTTTTATTCCTAGCATTTACTCAGAGATGTTTGTTTTATGGCTAAAGTTGAAGTGAAACGAGCATGAAGTCAGTATGAACAGTCTTCTGCAAGTTGGTAGTCATCTCCTTAAGCAAACCAGCCTAGCTCCACAGCTGCTGTAAAATTTCAAATACAACATTCTTCAAGACCCCTTTTCATTCAGAAGAGTTCTATGCATGCAGTTGCCACCTTAATTTTAGTCTGTAATTAAAATGAGTGATAGGCAGGTTCTATTAAGTGTCATGGTGTTTTTTTCTGACCTCTGGGATTGGCCTATTTAAACAAGAAAAAACCCCTAACTTGTATTACTCATGTTTTGATGAGTGATATTGTAGGATACTATGTGGTTTTAAAGTCAAGCACAGTATCAGCTGTCAGCAGACACTTATTGTTTGATATGCAGATGCTTACGGAAATGTTTTCCACTTCCAGCTGTTTAAAGCAGAAAGTAGTATGTGACGTGCTAACTTCAGTGGGAGTAGGTGTTAAATTCTGGAAATAAAGATGAGATTTAAAGCATACTAATTTAGTGTTGGCTACTGGTGGTGTTGTAGAAAAATGAGATATAGAACTGAATTTAAATTATTGCCTGAATTTCCTCATGGAATTTCATGTTCCTCTGTGCATATGCAGCTTCTCGAGGAATGCTAATGCTTGGTGGCTTTAGTGTGATTTTTTTTTTTTTTAAATTTTATTTTGCCTTGGGTGTTGTTTTGAAGAAGAGATTTGGTTTTACTTTTTACTTTCCAAAGTGTTTCTGATTTATCTGGTTATCCTTTTAACATACTAATTCTGCCCTGCCGCATGTTTCCCCTGCTCCCCCTTGCCTTGCCCTGGTGAAGCAGTATGTGGTAACTTATACTTGCCTCTTTTGTTTCTGTAGGTGGATGGATGATGGCCTAGTGAATGATATTACTCCTAAACTGATAGGCGACAGACCTAATACTTACGTATATACAAAAGCCTTAGCCGAATATATAGTACAACAAGAAGGTGCAAAATTAAACACAGCCATTATAAGGCCATCTATTGTTGGTGCTAGCTGGAAGGAGCCTTTCCCTGTAAGTCCTTGAGTTTTCACTTAACTATCTTGCCTGGAAATTGGAGTGCATAATGACAGCCTGTTTATCTAGTGACCTTCCTAGAGAAAAATCTCTTAGACCATGAAGTTGTGGTTGCTTAGGGATAACAGCTCTGGTATAGAAGTCGTGAAATACAATATTCTTATGTGTGAAATTTAGGAGTAAATTACTTCCTGTCAGATATAAATACACTTCTACTGTTTCACACCTGAATTCAACTGTCAGCTTCTTACTTCATGATTCTGTGTATTTTGATCTGGTTTTCCCTTGTCAAGATGCTTTGGTATGTCAGTAGCTGTGAAGGGTGACTGAGAAAATTGGGGACTGCAGGTCATAAAGATGTCTTGGCTCCACTTCTTTTAGTCAAACCCTGTAAGCCTTGCAGGGGATGGCCTAAGTTCTATGACCTGTATGCTCTATTGATACATAGCGTGTATGTTGTATCTTTCCTCCTATATGGGCGGTTGGTGTTGGAATAGCTTCTCCAGTTCAAGGCTGAATGTCTCTCAAGCCCGTAATCCATATAATTGACTGCATGCCTTTTCAAGTATGTACAAGTCAAATCAGTCGTTATATAGCCTGTAGATACTGTCATCAAAGTCGAGCAAGAATATTAATTTTTATTTTTCAAATGAAAGTTGGTAGTGAAACTGCTTGTCTGTCTTCTATGAGTTGCTAGAAGCTAGTCTAAAAATATTTGTAAAATATTTGTAATATTGTAATTTGAATACTTCTATCATAAACATACTGATACAGACAATGCTCTGCAGTTTACTTGCTAAGAAATAAAGAAGCTGCCATCTCACCTTGAAGGACCAGTGAATTTACAGGAAGATCTAGTCCGAGTCATAGCAACTTGTTACATCACCAGATTTTGCTGTGGAAGAACTTCATTTAGAGACAAGGAAATTAATATAGTTCTCCTTACTCTCTTTTCCTTCCACCCCTTAGGCTTGTAGAAACACCTCAGTTTTTCACTTGAAACTGCTGACTTCAGTATATTCTAACCAAATCCTTTCCCTCCTCTCTGTTCATAATAGGGATGGATTGATAACTTCAATGGACCTAGTGGTCTCTTCATTGCTGTAAGTAATGAATATACTTATTTTTCCTCCTTTTGGAAGAAGAAAAAGCTTCCTCTGTTTTACTGGTGGGCATGCTCTCTCTTTTTTTGTTTTTGTTCTTTAAGGCAGGAAAAGGAATTCTTCGAACAATGAGGGCTTCCAACAATGCAGTAGCAGATCTTGTTCCCGTAGATGTTGTTGTCAACACAACGCTGGCTGCAGCCTGGTATTCTGGAATTAATAGGTATAACAGGTGGCAATAGAAAGTATTAAGTATTTTGAAATTATATTGTATATTTTAATAAATCAGTGTTCTATTGAACTCATCAGTGTCCTGCTGTTCCACCAGGACAAAAGAATCTAAGGTTCTAACAGCCTTCATACCTCAAAGTGTAACTTCCTTATGCCAAAGAGGAAGACATCACCTACTGATACTGTTGTACAACCTATGCATGAAAATTCTTTCCTGCATCTTGCTGTAATCAATACAATCTACAGTAATGTAGGTTATGCTTTATCTGAAAGAAAAGAAATACAATAGCTAAAGGAGGAGAAAAATACTGGAAGATTATCTGGAGAGGAAAAAAGTCTTAACACAAGACTGATCCTTTCTGCTTGAAGTAAATGATACTCTTGAGGGGAAGGACAACTTTGAGTATGTCTGTGTGTGTTTGAAAGGTTGTTTGTCTTCTAACTTGCTCTTTTGTCCTTTTTTTTTTTTTTTTCTTTTTCCCCCCAGACCAAGAAATGTCATGGTATATAACTGCACAACAGGTGGCACCAATCCTTTCCACTGGGGTGAAGTTGGTATGCTGTGTTTCTTTTTTCATAAGCTTTAATAGAAAAGTAAGGTCAAATAAGAAAAGCAAAGGCTATAACTAGTAGGTCATATTGCATTTTTATTGTTGAAACTAGTATAATAGCCATACCTCTCAGTTTTGCAGTGTATTTGCTTTATCATTATCTTCCATTGTTAATTCTCCACCTTTGCACCATTCAGGGTTTTTTAATTTTTTTTTTTTTTATTCCATTATAACTTAAACTATTGGACAGCTGGTTTTTCTGTTTGATGCTGCCATGACCTAGTCCGCAGTGTGGGTAGTATGCAGAGCAAAGCATTGTTTAGAGGAGTAGTAGTGATGTTGGGTTTAGAGCCAACCTTACTAAATACATATGGATAAACAAGCCACAATTAGATGTCTTCAACATCTGCATAATTGAGAGGTATGATAATAGTTTTGCAGTTGTGTAGCTCTTTGAGTTTGGCTTAAGCTAATTGTTGATTGAGGTGGCTTTTTTAACCTTCAGATAGTTACATGAGACTTCAACTATTCATGTACAGGGGAAACTTATCTTTAAGAAAGTATGGCCACCTATTTTCAACTCTTAGATATCCTGACTAGAAGGTAACCCACGTGCCAAAAGCTTTGTAATAGTTTTTGTTATAGCAGTACAAGCTGGCTGGCATGGTAAAGCTGTTAGCTTTCTAGTTTTTAGAAGGAGTTCTTAAGCTCGGATTATTTTTGTTTGTTAACCAGTACTTAAATCTATTATTTTTCTTCACTACTTTCTTCATGCTTTTTACTTGCTTTTGCCCATTTTACATGTATCTGAATTTACATATCTTATTGCTTCAGCCAGGCTTGGAAGATGGCTGACTTTGCGTATACCCCGATTCAGATTGGGATATTTAAACGCTCTTGTAACTTTATGCTGTTGTTTATCAACAGATGATTCAAAGGAGAGATGAATTTCAACATGACTTTTTAAGACACTGATCCTGCATATCTGTCATGTACAGAATTTTCAGGTGTCATCAGGAGTTTCACACGGAGTCCCACCCTAATGACTTTTTTATTAATGTTTAAATATGGCTAAGTTGTTTAAAAATGTTATTTGAAATGCACTTAGTCCTCGGTCTGTTTTTAAATTTATTCTTCACCTGAGAGACCAGGATAGCTTTCTTCATGAAACAGAGATGACTAAACAGTTTTACATGCTATATAAATTGAAATGGCTGTTGGTTTTTGAAACCAGCTCCTAAGGTGGGGAAGAGGAACAGAAAGAGAGAAGCTACAATAAAATACGGTACTGAAGATGAAGGCATGAAACACCTCTTGATTATAATAAGAACCAGTTCAACAGCATTTTAGGTTAAAAGCTTATGACTTTGTAGTTTCTGTGGATTGTAGAAGAGTTAGAGTGGTTATTTAAATTACATATTGACATAGTTATTGTACGCTGTAATGTACTTTGGAAACCATTACATTTTACATGGTTATTATCAAAGCTGTTACGCAACTTTTCTTTCTCAGAATACCATGTAATTTCTACTTTCAAGAGGAATCCTCTCGAACAGGCCTTCAGACGGCCCAATGTAAATCTAACTTCCAATCACCTTTTATATCATTACTGGATTGCTGTAAGCCATAAGGCCCCAGCATTCCTGTATGATATCTACCTCAGGATTACTGGAAGAAACCCAAGGTAATGGTGACTAGCTCTGTCTTGTCTGTTCCTCTGACTTTAAACAAAGCTATGCTTACACTATGATGTATATTAATTTTAAAAATTTTTTTCTTCCCCTGAATGCTTTGTGACTAAAACCCAGCCTTTTTTTCCTGAGAACAGGTCCTTGAATTCAAAGTGACTTTGAACTTTCCAGCAAAAATGAGTATGTCTGTGGATAGTTTGGGGGTTTGAGTAGTTGAGGTAAACAGAATTGCAAGATCTAGCAAGTGATGTTTGCTCTTGCGTGATAAATATTCAAACTATGTTGATCCTTATTTTTTCCTACAGGATACCACATTAAGTTGAATTTCAAGATAAATCCGTTAGAAAATGCCATAAGGCAGCCTAACTTTAGTTTACAATCCAACCCCCTCTTGTGTCAGTACCGGACTGCAGTCAGCCATGTCGTGCCTGCATTTTTGCACGATCTTTTGCTCAGATTGACAGGTCATAAACCACGGTAAGAAGGACAGGGCTAAAAATACCTTGCTGGTAAGGTGGTGGAGACTTGTGAGAAGACATGGCATGGGCACTATCTAGATTTACTAACTATGAGCAATAACAATCCACTGGCGGCGTTTTGAAGAGATTAATGACTGGCTCAACAATGCTGTCCAAGATATGTTTTGGATTAAAATCCTAGTCAGTCATTAAACTCTAGGAAGTGGCTTGCATTAAGATTGTTGTTGCTATTATAAACTGAAAATGGAATGGGAAGCAGAGCTGTTGATGGCGGGTTATTCCTGTAGATGATACAACTTAATCTGATATGTTGGTTTGTATCATCTCAACATTCCATTCAGTTTATAATGTTTACACTAGTATCTGGCTAACTTCTTAAGTGGTGAAAATGGCATAACTCTGCTAAATAGGCTAAGCTAAATGATGTAGAAGGAATATAAGATGTCACTTCAATTTGTTTCAGATTTGCCAAGCCATATGATCTTAACTTACTGAATATGTTATGTTTTCAAAAGTGTTTGTCTTCAGACTCTATAAAATCTCCACTGTGGTGACAGTGTATTAACACAAGTGAGTATTCATTCATTGTCCTGTAGTCTAGGTCTGTCTTACAAGGAAGGGTAACGTGTTCTCTGAGACTTAGCACTGGATCAGTAGAAGGAAGCCTTGTGAGTGGTTTGTAGGAGAACCTGTAAACTGCCTTGGGTTGTGTTGTTCCCAGCCTGCTCAGTGGTGTGATGCACAACAGTAGTGGCAGGAGCCTTGCTGTGCCGGTATAGTTACCTTCCCACGTTGAGAAGACGTAAGCTCTTCAGGTCAAAGGAGGTATTGAACGTGCAAGTTCCTAGCTTTTAGGTTGTTCTGCAATTTTAAGTTATTCTTTATAAAACCAGATAGAAATTCCCTGACAGATGTGAAGACTGCATCACTCTCTAAACATAGTTATGCTATAAATGCCAACCTACTGTCTTTCAGATGCTTAGGAGGTAGTGCTGCCAGAATCTTGTCAGCCCTTAAAAGGCATCTAGTCTTTTAAGTATTTGACCCCTGGGAGTAAAACAAGTCTGTGAATAGTCACGTTATTTACAGCACACTTAGCAGTTTTATATTATAATACTGTGACTGTTGAATACTGATTTTGCTTTTCCTGCAGTTCTTACTTGATGTCCAAAGATGGAATTTGTAACTTCAATCAGTGGTAGTACAGTTGGTGACATTAAATATGGATTTTGTAGTCTGTGAAGTATTACTGATATGAATATGCCTAATAAGTTTAATATAACAGAAAGTGGGTGAGTTTCCTATTGTGCGCAGACTTCCAGCTGGAGGAAGGATGGGAGACTTGACTAAAACAAGCTAATGTTCAGTCGCTAAGGTTACTGAAATGCACTTGGAAAGCTTTTAAGTTTGATACCCAGCGTACTTACCAGGAATATCCTGTTCATTATATAGTGCTGTGGTGGCTTGACACTGGAGCCCAGGTGCCTGCCAAAGCTGCTCTGTTACTGCCCTCCTCAGCTGGGCAGGGGAGAAAATATAAGGAAAAGCTTGTGGGTTGAGGCAAAGACAGGGAGGGATTGCTCACCAATTACTGTCACTGGCCTGACTTGAGGAAAATTAGTTTAAATTATTGACAACTAAATCAATAGAATAATGAGGAAAAACTAAATCTTAACTTCTTTCCCCCTCCCCTCACTTTTTCCTGAGCTCAGTTTTGCTCCCCATTTCTCTATTTCTTTCAAAGAATGGGGATTGTGGTCAGTTCGTCACAAGTTGTCTCTGCTACTCCTTCCTCCTCAGGGGAGGATCCTCACACTCTGCCCCTGCTCCAGCGTGGGGTCCCTCCCACGGGAGACAGTCCTTCACAAACTCCTCCAATGCAAGTCCTTCCCAGGGGCTGCAGTTCTTCACACACTGCTCCAGTGTGTCCCCCCACAGGGTGCTGTCCTTCAGGAGCAGTCTGCTCTAGCCTGGGTCCCCCCCAGGGTCACAGGTTCTGCCAGCAAATGTGCTCCAGTGTGGGCTCCTTTCTCCACGGGGCCACAGCTGCTGCCAAGAGCCTGCTCCAGCGTGGGCTTCCCATGCTCTGGCATGGGGTCCTCCTCAGGCTGCAGGTGGATCTCTGTTCTCCTGTGACCCTCCATGACTGTAGGGCACAGCTGGCTTAACCATGGGCTGCAGGGGAACCTCTCTTCTGGTGCCTGGAGCACCCACTGACCTTGATGCCTTGCAGAGTTGTTTTTCTCCCATATTCTTGCTCTTCTCACTGGCTCCAGTTGCTGTTGGCGCCGTTTTTTCCTCTTCCTAAATAAGTTATCCCAGAGGCGCTACCACCGTTGCTGATGGATTCGTCCTTGGCCAGCAGTGGGTCCAATTTGGAGCTGGCTAGCATTGGCTGTGTTGGACATGGGGAAGCTTCTAGCAGCTTCTCACAAAAGCCACCCCTGTAGCCCTGCTCTGCTACCAAAACCTTGCCATGCAAACCCAATACAAGTGCTCCTCTTTTTCTTTTATTTTTAATTCTTAAGCATTTAAAAAAAAAAAGGAGCCTGCAATAGGAGCAGTAGAAGCAAGTAGGTGCAGGCAAGACATGCAGTGTTAAATCCTAATGGGCTTCATGTGTTGTTTGATAATAGAAGAAATTGAGCCAGAAGAGTAAAGATCTATCTCAAAGTACTTTGACAGCTGCTTTAACTGATGGGCTGGAGACAGTCATGGTATAGGTGTGTACTACTGTTGCTGTTGTCATTCTGTGCAGTTGGCAGAATGGGTATAATTACCAGGTAGCATGTACTAGGAAACTTCTAAAGCCTTGGAAACATTATTGGAGACTGTTGAACTCGGTGTAATGCTGTTCTGAGTAGTGAGGGGCTGGCTTAATTCAAAGTGTGAACTTTTACACCATAATTTAACAGAAAAACCTGACCGGTATAGTAAAAATGTGGTAAAATCGCAAGAAAAGTCAAAGACTCTGCTAGCATGACTTCACATGGCCAACAGTCTGCTGTGTCTGAGTCAGGAGTACAATTCTGAGGCCTTTATTTTGTACAATATAGGAGAAACTCTAAGCAATGAAATTACTCTGTGGGTTTAACTACAATGTTACTCTCTCTGGATATTGTACTGCAACTTAATGAGAGATTTTTACCAAGTGGATGAAATAGATGAGGCCTATGACCATCCAGAACAACATAATTATGTTCATAATGAAAAAAAATTCCCGTTCAGGGTTTTTTGAAAACTTACCTGTTGAAATATTTCTACAATATGAAATTATTCTTTTGCACCTCACTTGTGGAGGTTTTTTGTCAGATGGACGTCTCTTTGCTGTTTGCATCTAGTTGAAGGTTCTTCAATTTAACAATTCTCTTATGATATTAACTGTTAAGAAAGAAATAGTGCATGTATTTCTTCCAGATTTTATAGACAGAACATGTACAATAAAGATTTGCATAATGAAGATTTAATATTTTATACTAAATACTTAAGGCTGTTTCAGCATTGTGTGATTACATAAATAGTGGCAATTATCCTTATTGTCCAAGTTCAAGGATAGTGTTTCCCTAGCTTGCCATGTATATACTTAGTTGCATAGCAAAGCTTAGTAATTGTATAATTAACTTTAACATAAGGCATAGTTTTCTCTTTGCTTAGGGCTTAGCACAACAGAACCATATGTTATTTAAAAACAATTCAGTATATTCAAAATCTTAAAGCCTTTAAAAATACTCACCCAGCAGATCTTTCCAATTACTCTGGAGGAACAGAATGTGGCATGAAATATTTAAAAGTAGTTGTAATCCAGGGATTTCTCCAGCAATTCTTTTCCTGTTACTGCTTAAAAGCTGAAGGGAAGGTGTGATTGATATATATGTAGGGAGGTTTAAAGGACGTATTGAAATGATAGATATGAAATTAAAGCTTCTTAAAACATAACGTGAAGCAGCTTTCACAATGTTGGTGTCTTGCAAACCAGAAATTAGTGGAGAGTACACTTTGAGTATACTAATATGTTGTTTTCTCTTGGAAGCACTTTTAAGTTGTGCACTTAAAAGGAACCACAGAAATGCTGGAAGATAAGAATTCCAGTAGTATGTCTTACGTCGGAATCTACAGCCAAATGAAAATCTGAACAAAGACAAATCTGAGAGCTTGCTTTATGTATTTTAGAGGAATCCTTGTCTAAAAAAAGAAGCTAAGTGTCTGTAATGCTTATGCAGAGACCTGTAGATTGGCAGCCAGTAGATCTACTGAAGAATCAGTCTGTATGTAGCATCAGATGTGTTTTTAGTCTGGAAACAATAGGTTGTGTGTCAGACTTCTACAGAATGCAGTCATAGCCTTAAGCCAGGTTGCTTTCAAGTGTCTGGTATAGAAACATGCTCACTTAACTTACGCATAATTGACTTGGCTATTGCTGAAAACCTTTAATTCCTGTGATGTGCTTCTCAAACTGTTGTAATGTATTTTGTGTTAATGGCAGTAAGGGTTGCCTAGTAGAGGCAAAATTCTACATAGTGTATAGGTGAAAATCTTCCATGCTGTCACATGGACTTGCTGACTGCTGCTAATGTTCTTTATGATGATCAGCAGGTCTGACTTTTTTTTTCTGTCTTCAGCTTATGAAGAAGGTGTGATGCAATGCCTGATATTATACTGACTGCTTGTATATGGCTTTGGTATTTATGACTTGTATCCAGTGGCTATCTCTGGAACAACCTGTGAAATGTGTATTTCAAAACTTCAGGCTGAGAGAGAAAGTTTCATTATGTGTATTTGTGCTTTTTTGAGTCATGTGGGTTCCCGTTTACAGGAGGAATATGGTGCCATTGAAGCTGCAAAACATAGTCTGCCAGAGCTACACAAGGGTCCCCTAAATGACACTCATAGCTAATATCTTTCAATGAGAGGCTGTCACCATACTACTTTTCCCTCTCCAAAAAAAAAAGTCTGTTTTTATGTTGATGTAGTGCAGACTAACCAGCTGTCACCAAGACAGTTGGTCCTCTTCTGCCAACTTTGCAGTTGATCTAGCAGTTGAGAGTATGCGGAGACATTTGGTTGTTTTGGCTGATATATCAAGAAACTAACCCTACAAAGAAAAAAATTAAATTTCCACTGATTTAATTGAATCAGCTGCTTCCGTGGCCATTCACTAAACCAGTTTTGAGTTGGAGGGAGGGGGTAAAAATCTGCAGCTGAGTTAGAAAAACTCTCTAGCCACTTTTAAATTATTTTTAAAATCAACTTAGCTATGCTCTAAAACCATATCCATAAGCAGAGTTGTTTCCCAGTAGAGGTTAGTGTTTAGTTTGTATTTAGTTTAGTTTTTCTTTACAGAAAAGAGTGAAAACCAATGTCAGTGGCCAGTAACAAGCTCAAAATCTACACTGTTCTGTTCAGATAATCATTTGCACCATTTAGTATTTTGCAGGGGCATAAGCCTTCTTAAACTGTAGCAGTCTGAGCACTAACTCCGATGCAGTTGCTCTTCCAGCTTAGTGTACGAGCACAGACTGGGGAGGCACAGAAGGGCGAGGCAGCTAAGTTATATAATTTTAAGACTGTCAATGGACAGACCTTTGCAAAAAGCACTTGGCCACTGTGTCCTGCTTACCACTGTAAGCTATTTTGCATCTTTGCTTTCCAAGTTTTGAGTTCTTCTCTGAGTTTTTGACTTAACTAATACGTTGTTTTTTCCAGTTCAGCCTTGCTAGCACAGGATGTGGTTTGGATGCGCAGTCTATACTCCTAATAACTCTTGAATTAGAATTCCTCTGGTTCTACTCAGCTCCCAGTATTGCCACCTTGCCCAACCTATAAAACTATAAACAGGTGTTTGAAAGCTTCTAGAAATATCTACTAATACAATTAGCTGGTGGTCTAAAATTTGAACAAAACTCTGCATTAATCTGTAGTTAGGTTCCGGTGGGATTTTAGGAAAAATATTAGTGCTTTTTGTGCTTTAGAGATACGCGACCTCTTCAGTAGCCTCTACAAATTGCATTACTCCATTTCCTGAGAAGAAAAAGGCAATTTTGATAATCCCTTAGGTACTGAGATGCCAGCTGTTAGTGACAGTATGGAACCCTAGTGCGATATAAAATAGTTTCTTTATAAGAGTTTCTAGGACAATGTACTGTATCCCTTCTACAAGGATGAATACATCAAGGCAGCTTTCAGAGAAAAATCAGTGGTGGTTGTTTTATTGCTTCTATGAACTTTATTCAACAAAACTTACCTTCAGAAAGCCATTTCCTATTAGTGCTGGGTTGTTCTGCTTTCTTTATCCTCCCTCCCTTTCCCCCTTCTCTGCTTAAAATGATCACTGTGTCGTGCTATAAGGATCAAATTGGAAGCAGTTCTGCAAGATGAAAAGACCTTGAGCACCCAAAGCAGGAATTCAATAACAGTAGGTTATGTGGTACTAGTTAATATTTATTAAAATTGAGTGACCAACTCTAGCACTGTAACACTTGAAACAATATTCTTGTCATAAACGTGGGAACTTGGCGTCCGAGAGACTGGATGTTGTACTATTTTTGGGTCTACTTCAGATAGCCTGTTCAAAGAGAAACATGCCCAGATTGATCCTTATAACTTCTCTGTACTCCCAAGTGATGATTTTGTAGAGTTGCTTCCCCTGCATAATAAGGGATGATGGAAGAATATTTCTGCATATTCTGAAGTAGCATAGAACTGATCACATGACTAGCAGGATCTGCTATGCTCTATCTGTGCCCTTAAATATTTTCCTGACCTTTGCTGCAGAAGCAGTAGGGTTAAGGGGCTAAGCCATATTTCTGGTGGATTTAAGACTCATTCTCTAACCACAATAAGCCAATTTAGTTTTGTTATAGAGATCTGGTCTTGCACATTGTGCAGGAAGATCAGGGAAGTTTACTCACTTAAAGTTGTCACATGCATATGCTCTGCACTGTGCAATTTGACTCTTTTATCAAGTCAAATTTTTCAATACAGCTAAATATTCCAGCATGCTGAAGTGAAAAGCGTTCTGTCCTAAACTGAGTTGCCAACAGAAGACAAGATTTTACCATCTTCTTTTTTTTTTAAGTGGAAGAAACTATGACACTGGGAAGTAGTATTGGGGGGAAAAAAGAACTGTCCTATAACTTATGATTCCATATGAAGGTTGCACAGCCAAAGTCCACTTTAATAATATGCAGAAATGTCCTGTTGATATACTGTAATGTGCTTTGGGTACAGAGCAAGATGGGATATGTTAACTTTGGGGTGTGGGATTGGAGGGTAAAAACTTTATGGTCTTACTGTTTTTTCTTGTTTGAACTAATCTTTACCACTGTAACCTGTACATTCCATGCCTTGGACTGTAGGATGATGAAAACAATAACACGTCTTCATAAGGCCATGATGTTGTTAGAATACTTTACAAGCAATTCTTGGATCTGGAATACTGAAAATATGACAATGCTACTGAACAAGCTAAACCCTGAAGACAAAAAGGCAAGTATCTGTGTGATGTGGGCATGGAGACTGAAAGTGAAATAGAAGCTCACTTATTTAGGGTTGAATAAGGACATGAGCTGGTAATGCTGCTTACTGTATTGTGGAGAGAACCCTACTACTAACTCAGTGCTGGAGATTCCTGTGTCATCCTTTCAGTTGTGCCAGGGCTGTGTTATAAGCTAGATCAGTGATGTGATCAGAGATGAGGAAGAGCAGGATGCCCTTGAAGGAGGCTTGATGTAAAAGATGGTTGCTTGTGGAGTGGCCTGATCTGGTGTTGCCATATATCAACCAAGTGACCAAGCTGTTACGACTTTACCTACATCATGAATAAAACAAGACTTTGTGATTGCTGTCTCTTTTCTGAGGAACAGGAGGTGCATTTTGAGGGACTTCCTTGTTTCTTTTTAAACTAGTAACAACTTTGACATACCCTTTTCATTCTTTGGCCAGACAGCCACATGTATTCAAAGAAACTAGAGTGAATTGAAAAGCTACTAGAGTGAGTGCTTCCCTCACTTCCTACTGAGGAATGCTTTGCTTTGTGACTAAAACTGCTCCATGCAGAGGGAAAAGCCTAACAGAAGTAGGATGACAGAAAAGTCCTAAGGGTTGTTAAGGAATCATGAAAACTGAGTGCAGGGTGTGAGTAAGAGTGAATGAAAAGTCAAAGGAAAAATCTTGCTGTGTTGTTGCCCATCTATGTGAGCCTCTATTTTTAGGCTGCCTTTACCAGTCTTGGACTAACAGAAGCACCTGGATGTGGCTAGCTGGTCACCCTGGTGATAAGTATTGGCTGAAGCTACCTTTGTTTCCTGCTTGTGTGCCTGTGCTGCCAGATTCCCACCTCCCCACCCTCCTTATGGCTGTGAAAAGTTACGCAAGTCGTACTGGATTTATTCCAAGTTATTAAAAATATATTTGTGCAATAGTGAAGCGATAATGGAGTGGAGTTGTTCTTGTTTCCCTGCCAGTATGTCTTGTAGGAAGATACGTGTATGTGCTAAAGAGGTATTGCATCTGCGACTAAAATCTCTGCCCGCCCGAACTGAGTTTACACTTTGTTGTTTGCTATGGTCTTGTCATTTAATAATCGTCAGGATAAAACCCCCAGTTAGAGTTTTAAAATCTCAAATTCCCTTATGCATTTGGATAAGGTTTTGTTATCTTAAAGATTTTTGGCCTATTCAAGTGTTTTCCAGACTGATTCTGTAGTTAAGTTGAAGTTTGGCGGCTGTTCTAAATAAACAGTGTAAAAGTAGGAATTGAATAGCTTTTGGTGATTCTTGAGTGAAGAATTCCATTTCTTCTCACCTCCCCCCAGTAGCTTGAGCTCAGGAAAAGTATAAAAAACAAAACCAAAATAACCCGGGAGACTGTTACTGTTTCAAAATAGCTGAATTTTCAGTAGGATGTTTTCCTGGATTTGACTGGGATAGAGTTAATTTTCCTCCTCGTAGCTGTACAGGGCTGTATTTTGGATTTGGCATGAGAACAGTGTGGTAACACAGGGGTGTTTTGGTTGTGACTGAAGAAGTGGTCCTTATACTAAGTCAAGGATACTTCAGCTTCCCAGGCTCTGCCAATGAAGAGGTGCATAAGGAGCTGGAAGGGAGCACAGCTGGGAGAACTGGCCCAAGGTGACTGAGATATTGGGATATTCCATACCTTATGAGGTCATGCTCATTATATAAACTAGGAGACTTGGCTGGGGGACAGTGACCACTGCTTGGGGACTGGCTGGGTGTTGGTCGGTGAGCAGTTGCATCAATTGTTTTTCTTGAGTTTTTTCTCCCTCTTGTTTTTACTTTCATTAGAGTTTTTTTATTTTTACCGTTGATCTATTCTTGTCTCAACCCTCAAGCTTTCTCATTTTTACTTTACAGATTTTCTGCCCCCATCCCACCATCGTGGGGTGGGTGGGTGAGTAATGCTTCCCCCACTCTTGCACCTTCCCTTTCTCCTTCAGGCTAGTTACACCAGTCTTGAGAATTAGGAATATCTGTAGGATGTTCAAGTCAGCATGCTCTTACTGCTGTATCTCCTGAATGCTGAATGTGTTTCAGGTCTTGTTCTGGGTTAAAGGGCTATTTAAAAGAATTACTCAGAAATCTGCTCTGAAGCTGGATGGTCATGGGGTGGCATGGCATGTGGGAGAGTATAGGCAGATACCTAGAGGACATTCCACCTCCAGTGATCTGGAACTTCACTCCCAAATGCCTACAGGATCCTGATGAAGTGATAGGATGTGTGGGGGGAAAAAAAATATGCTGTAGCTATTCAAAGAGGCACAACTTCATGCACTGTGCTGGGCTCTGGCTTGTATCTACCAAATGCTGCTTGGTGTTATGCAGCATCCTCGTGGAGAAGAGGGGGGAAAAAGTTGTTCCAGCCCCCCTGACAGGCACTGCAGCTGAACCAGAGAACCAGCCTGTGCTGCTATCAGTTGCCCCCATACACAAGAAGAAATCCTGGAAGTTAAAAGTCAGCTCACTTACTAAAGGAGGATGAAAAAGCAGAGTCGGTGTGAGGAGAGGAAGAGGAAGAACTCATAAATGAGACACAACCACCTGCTGCCTGTCCCTGAGTGAGCTGTGAGATATGCAAAAAGATTTCAGCTGTTGTCCAGGTGAGCACATTGTCACCTGGCTGCTCAGATGCTGGGCTAACAGGGCCAGTAGCCTTGAATTAGAGGGTAGGGAAGCCAAGCAGCTGGGATATCCTTCTAGGGAAGGGGCATCAATTAAGTGGTTGGAAAAGGGGCACAAGCCCTCAACCTCTGTAGTCAACTCCTGTCAAATGTGAAGGAATGGTATCACTTCAAGGAAGATGTTATATATTGCCCAGGCACATGGACCATTATGGATAGAGGTATGCAGTACCTGAGGCAATGAGCTCATGCTGGCTGTGACTTATGGTGACCTGGACAATGTGCAGTTATCCAAAGATCCAGATGAAGGCAGTGCACATGACTCGTGGCAGAAGTGCTTACAGAGTGCACCATCATCATATGCAGACTTATTAGCAGAACTGACCTGGAAGAATGGAAAGGGACCAGCAGTGGATGAATTGGCTAGACAGCTCTGGGAATACAAAGAAAATCTCTCTTCTTTGCTCATCTCAGCTGTGGAGAAACTGTCCTGGAAGATCTAGCAACTCAAAGAGAATAGGTCCTACTTCCCACCTGTATGGACCAATATCTGAGCTATTAGGAGTAAGCGTTCCACTGCTCAAGAGAGGATATAGCAGGTATACACCATGGGGCACCCTGTGTTTTGACCTGTAGGACCACAGAGAGGATGTGAAGTGGGATGGGAAATCTGCCTTGACCCTAGAGGTGTGGTTATGTGAGTTGCAAGGGAAAACAATCACAAGTGGGGGTTCTTCCAGGAAAATTGCTGCTCCAGTCTCCAGTGGGCAGCTTACCAGGCAGAGCAGAAGGGTTGATCTTACTCCTGGCTTGTATTTATGAGAAGTGAGTAAAGATTACTCTGACCAGGAGTAGAGGAACCCTGCCTCCAGTTAGGTGGAGGAAAGGGACAACCACGTGGATTTACTGGACTGTGTGGATGCAATGTCAAACCCACAGGAGTGTAAGGCTCTAGTGGACACTCGTGCATTGTGTACACTAATGCTGTCAAGCTATCAAGGGGCAGAACCCATCTGCTTTTCTGGAGTGATGAGAGGGATCCCAACTGCTGACTGTATTGGAGGCCAAAGTGAGTCTAACTGGGAATGAGTGGTGGAAACAGAGCTTCCAGGCCAGTCACAATGGGGTATCCGTGGTATAGACTATCTCAGGAGAAGGTATTTAAGGACCCAAAAGGGTACTGTCAGGCTTTTGGTATAGCTGCCTTGAAGACAGAGGAAATGAAGCAGCTGTCTGCCTTGCCTGGTTTCTCAGGCAAAAACCTACTAGGAAAATGTTGGTATTTATTGGGACTTCAGATTCTGCAGTAACAGCCGCTTAAGATGTGGAAATTAATACATCAGTGGCAAACTTGAGTTGTGAATTTACTGTGGTAACTTCCTCTCCTGAGGAAGATAGTCACATGGTTCTTTGTAAAATATGGCTGTACAACTATAAGCACAGCTGAAAGAACTCTGCGTTTGTCAGTGAACCTGGCACAGAGCAGTGTTTATTATATAGCATGTTGGAATGTTTTTGCTGCTTAAAAGGAAACAATAGAAAATAGTTATTTCGAGAGTGGAATTCCTTGCAGACAGATGACATGGTCAATTAGTGCACTTGGAAGTGGAGGGAAGAATATTATGCTGGGGAGGAAAAATAAGGCCTGAAATGTTGGACATTTGGAAGAGATGGTGGTTGAGTCACAAATGGGATCTTATTGTAGATTGTTCTTATGATTTAAGGCCAAGATAGTTTTCTTGCATCAGAGACAGGTTGGAATTATCTGGTATAAAGGCACTTATTCTTTCTTAAAATTATTATATATAGAAGTGAACTTTTAGGTAACTAACAGTGAAAGCTTTTATTTTATGCAGATGTTTAATTTTGATGTTCGACAACTACATTGGGCAGAATACATGGAAAATTACTGCATGGGAACGAAGAAATATGTGCTGAATGAAGAAATGTCTGGCCTCCCTGCAGCTAGGAAACACTTGAATAAGTAAGTATAATTTTTATTTTCCTCCATTTGTATTCTATTTTTTCCTGCCCTTGTCAAGTTTTGCTTTTCCATGTTATAACTTAGCTGTTCTTTATAGCACCTGAATAGGTCCTCCAGAATTCTTGTGTTCCAGTCCAGTGGTCTGAAGCATTTTCTTTAGAAATCAGATGTTAATTTTCTTGTTGCTCCTGCGTTGCTCTCAGTATTAATAGTTACAGCATTGGTCTGGGATTATGGTTGTAGCTCTGATCACTAGTGTATACTAGTGTAGTTACAGGGCTCGCTCTGTTCCTTAGTTTTCCCGTGTTCCACTTTTCAGCTGTCAACTATGGAAAAGCTTTCTCTGTCCTTCACTTACCAGTTTCCATCATTCACTTAAAACCACTCATAATGTATCTTGAGATGAATAGATGAACAAATTAAATTCTGTGTAAGAACTTATTTTTTAGTGTGGTGTTCTCCTGTAAGTCAGTCTTTACCTTGGCTTTTAACTATTTTTGTTGTTTTTCCTTAGGTTAAGGAATATACGCTATGGCTTCAATACAGTTCTTGTGATCCTGATCTGGCGTATCTTCATTGCAAGATCACAAATGGCAAGAAATATCTGGTACTTTGTGGTTAGTCTGTGTTACAAGTTCCTCTCCTACTTCAGAGCCTCCAGTACTATGAGATACTGAAGAAAACTTAGAGATACTGAAGAAAACTTAGCATTAGGACATCTATGCATCTGGTGGTCTAACTGCACACAGCCTGTAACATGTAGTCATCTCACACTTTGTAAAAGCATAACTTCATCTTAAATTGGAGTGCGAAATATACAGTATGGTATATGTAATGTTAGTTGTGTATCTTCCTGGAAAAAGAGAAAATAGAATGTTCAAGTGCCAGGTTGAATTGGCATTAGACAAGCATTTAAATAACTTTAACTTTTTGGCCTGGGGAAAACATTTTAGACCACTGACCAATGTAACTGTGCAATTTGGAACGTGTTTGATTTGAAATCTGCCTTAACATGATTTATTTTCTTTTAAGTTTTACTCTACATTGAACAAGATAAATATTGACTTAGTAGTTGCTGTAGGCCTATTTATTTGAAATTCTTCTAAACTACAAAGGATTTTCCAAGTTGCAAAGGTATATAAATGATGATGGATCTCCTGGGGGGGAAAAAAAAACAAACACCCAACACCTTTAGGAACTTTTGTCATTTGTCTTTTTGCCACTTCTTCCCTTCTCAAAGTAGGAATGCAACAATCGTGCCTACTTTGCTTAAAAAAAGAAAAAAAAAAAACCCAAATAACTTTCCTTAACTACTGAAAGGCCTTTTGTCCAGTCTGGTCTTCAGAATGCACTTAGTGATTCAGTTCTGTGCTCAAAACTGGCTGCAGCCAACTTGCATTTATATGAGATCGAAGATTTGTTTCTCTGAAGGCAGACTTGATCTTGTCATTAAGTATTTAAAAGGAAGTGAAACCCTGAAGGGGGGAAAAAATAAAGTCATTGACCGTCCTCTTTTTTTTAAATTACTTTTATTGGGAACACAGAGCCAGCACTTGATTGCTACACTTTGACTTCAAAAGGTAAATGTATTTGAAAGGAATTTATTATGCTTAGTTGCTATTTATAATACTGGTAATAATAGTTGGCCAAACTATAGGCTTTCGTGAAGCGATATACCTGTTCTTTAAATTTTAAGCAGTGTTAGCAAATACTTCATGAATTAATGATTTTTTTTAAATCTGAGCTGTGAGATTTTATGCATGAACAATGTGTAAGCACACTCTCATCCTTGCCCTGATAAAACCTCTCACTTCACTGGGCAAGCAGAGCAAGACACACCTTGCTTCAAGATGAAAGTATGTTAACAATTCTTCCATCTGTCTTTTAATTTAAATGATTAGGTTTAAATCTGAAGAAATCTGTTTTTTCTGCATGTTAGTTTGTTTCAGTAGGAAAAACATTTGTAAAAATAGCAAGCTGTAAGAAAAGACTGAATCCTTGTTTCAGGCAATACGTGAAGATCCCTTTAAATTTTGGTTGCATGGTATTCCATCTGAGAATGCTGTAACGTTCCTCTAATTGATGCACTGACCAGCCCCCTTGCCCAGTGTTAGTTCATTAAAATCAGTTTATGCTGATGAATGTTCTTGAATCTGCTTGGAAAGGCAAATAATGACTTAATTATTTAAGAGCTATATTATACTTGCTCTTGGTAGTGGGTTTTTTTTTGTCCTATTTGAGTTAAGTATGCGAAGAACTTATTTTGCTATTTTTGTGAAAACTTACTTTAAGGAGGACACCTTTTTCATGCAGGTGTATATCTCATTTTGAAAAATAATGGCTTGTTGAAGCTAAATATTCTGTAGTAAGTAGGTAAGCTGTAATTCCTTTTTAAGATTACCTGTGTATATATAAAGCTAGTGATGAGTAGCCTAAATGGTCTAGGACCACACCTTGTGTGAGAGACCTCTGACAGTGGCTGAAAATAAATTATGGCTTCTGAGATTGAAGATGTTACACTTTAACAAATGCAGTAGGTGTACTACATTTTTAGCAGCTTCCCTGAATACCTTACTAGACCTGAAAGTATGCTTAAGGATTCCTGCATTGTAGACTCTTTTCAGAGGTGCCTACTATCCAATGATACCCCTTGTCCCGTGTTGGCATGTGGCTGAAGTTTGCAAAAGACAAATAGATCGTATTCTGAAAATGGTTCTGTGAAGCAATTAACTCATGAATTTTTGGTTGTTTATAACTATGATTTTACATGATACTTCTGATGTTGATTTGTTAATACTGGGAACTATGAAGCCAATGAACTGATTATTTCTGGTCCAAAACACTATTTAGAAATCTATTCTTTGGAATAAGTAATGAAGAAAAGGATTACTTTAAACATAAGGATATTTAACCTCTACTCTTTAAACATTTGCCAATATAAAACCCCATATTTTTTCCCTCTTTGGAGACTGTGGTTCTGTGCACTGTTGGTATATTACAGAAATTCATCAGTTGTCCTGTTTGACTGACAGTAGATTCAGTGTCATGTTTATTACATTAGTTTTGTCACTTCCTGTGGTCAGTCTGTGAAATTCTATCTGAAGCTACTGGTTGTTTTTCCATATCAGAACCCTGTTCTCTTGCAGTTCTTCATACCAGTGTTTGCACATAACAGATGTTGATCAAAAATATACTAGAACTTTATTTTGATACAGTAAGCTAGACTTACCATACTGATTAGCGAGTTACAGGAGGTATTCCAGTGGGTTAAATAGGAAGAAGAGCACTCTGAAACAACATGATCACTTAACAGTTACTGGTATTTAAATTGGGGACCAGGAAAAAAATTCACTTTTCCTGTAATGTTTTTCTCTGCTGTAGGAACAGATGTTTGGAAAGAAATGCTAAATCCGTGAGCTTTTATAAGATATAAACAGAAATATTGGGTGCCTTTGTTTGTAAACCAAAAATAAACAAATCCCTTGAAAGTGTTGTTACAGTGTTTATTGTATTTTTGCATGCTTTTAGTTTAATTTGTGGAAAATAACTGCATAGTGTAAATGCCATCTTAATATACATAAACATGCTCTTTCTTTGGAGAAACTTTGAAAATTGTTAATGACTAATACTGCATTGGGAAAAAAAAAACCAAACCCAAACCAAAAATAAAACTTCAATCACCCAAAAAAACCCCCATACAACAAACAAAACCCCTTCAATCCAAACCTTTGTGGGGTGGTATCAAAACACATGGTGAGGTATACTTGGTCATGGTGACTTTCTTGTATGTCAGCTAGTTCTCTCCTCGCTGTCATTGTCTGTTCGCTTGTAGTATTAGTTTTAAATGTATTTAACTAGATGGGTGCTTTATCATGTGGTTTAAAAGGGTACTGTGGGTTTGCAATAGCTGTTGGGTTAACATGGTAAGGAATTGCATGCAACCACAGCTGTTTGTGGCATCCACACTTGGTGGTGAGGGAGGAAAAATTAGCTTTAAGCTAGTGCAGCACCAAAATGGCTTGTTTTTTTGTTTAACCTTAATTTTTGGAATCATCAGATTTCATGGTCTCCTCCTTTTATCAAGAGCACAGCTCTAGAGATCATGCATGATCTGTAAGCTGTGGTTTGGGGGCTACCTGCTTTAAAGCATAACCCTTCCTTTACTTGAGTTCAAGAAAACCCATCTGTATTTGGTAGTTTGTCTCTGTAGTTGAATCAAAATTGGAAGCAAGGAACATAGAAGTTTTAAGATGATATCCCTTATGTGTCTTGTGCTGTGAAACATTTTTGAACTTTCTTCATAGTACAGTATTGCATCGTATGTTGTTCAGAAACAAAGAACAGGTTTAGAGAGGTAACTTGCATCTGAGAAGTATGCTGCACAGAGCTGGGAAGTATAACTTGCCATAATATTTTTATATGTTTCACAATCTGCTGAGCAGACCTTAAAACAGAAGTGAAGAAAAGTCACCAAAGAACAGCTACTCTGGAGAAATGTAAGTCAATTGCTTTAAAGTGTGGTTTTGCTCTTTGTCAATCTCTGTGCTGAAGTACATGTGATTTTATTTTGCCTTGGCTGGTGACATTCACTGTGTGTTTGAGTAAATCTCTAGAAACTCTAAAATAGTTCCAGTGGAGCTGGTATGAATTGTCTGCTCTTATTTCTAATGTGTGCTGTGCCATCATAAATTTAGAAGTGCAGGTTGACAGGTCTCACCTCTTCAAATTCTAGGGTTTCTTGTTCTATTCTAGAGGATTCTTCAGAGCTTCTTCAAACAACTTTTTCTGTCTGCAGATGACTGCAAGTTAAAGGTTACTTAACCCGACTGTGAGCTGCTTCTCAGCCATCTCGAACTAAATTTAACCCTGCTTCTACTTTGAAGATATTTATATAAATGCTTTCCTCCTTAATGTTATCTTAGTACTTTTCAGTGCAGAGTTGACATTTGCTTTGGCTTTCCCTGCTCTGCAACAAATATGACTCACTAATAGATAATTAGTAATTATGCAACTGTCTTCTCGAATATGGAGCAATGACAGCTTTGAGCAGCTTTTATTCTTACTATGAGAAGCAGGAGAAACGATGACTAATTGGTGAAAGCAAAAGTTCCAACACATTAATGCACTGAATAAAATTGGAAAGCTTAGAGCCGTGGGCTCTAGGTAGGGTAAATAGGACTTTTTTACACTTGATTCAGTTATATCCATTAGCTGTAAATGTAATGATTATTACCAGTAGTCTTTAATTTCATTCTAATTGAATTGCTGTAACTTTTAGGATGGTAATTCTGTAGCCACTATCACTTCTGAAAAATGAGTATCCTGACATGCAGAAGCAAGACCTCTTTTGCTTCTTATGAGCATATGAAAAAAAGCTGAATTATGAACTTACTGTAAGATTCTTTGAAATGGAAAAAATTAAAACCATCACTTGGTTAAAATTTTCTGCGATGTAGAATGAACATTGAATCTTAAAATGCCCTTGCCTTGTGTGGTAGGAGTTTCCACTACATCCTGTGTGTATGCCCTGTCCCTACTGCAGAAACAGCAAATCATTCTGCCACCAGGAGTGTCAGAAAGCAGTCGCAGTATTCTTGTTTTAATCAAGAAACATCTGACCTATCACTTAAATGAAAATGATTTAGTACTTAGCCACTGTGATGTATCATGTCAGTCTCAATCCAGATTCAAGACATCATCGTGTAGCTGAATATTTTTATCCTTTATGAGGATAACTCTCTCATCCTTTCCTTCATTCCTGCATGGATGTGTAGGGACACAAATAGCTACATTTGCTGGTTTAGGCACCTAGCTTGGATTGAAGTCAAGAATCTGAAGTTAGGAGGCTTGACTTCCTCTATTACAGTTTTCTTAGTATGATTCAGAATCATAAGGCAACTGCTTAAAATAAATAGGGCCTTTAGAAAAGCAGTCACATGGTGTGGGGAAAGACCTGTGGAAATGAAAGGAAATGGTTAACAACATTCAGCCTGCTCCTGTAATTTA